CTACATGAAAGATCTATGGGAAAAGCCAAATCAAGAAAAATGACAAAGGTGCAACAGGAAACTGTTCATCAATTAGTTAAATGTAAAATGTAAAGTGTTAAGGCAATTTGACAAAGATTAAGACTTGGCTAAATGGCAAGAGTACTTGGAGTTATTCCCTTTACATTCTATTATACAAAATTAAGACAATATTTGTTTAATGATTGTCTTTAATTAACCTTTAATTGCTAGTAATTTGATTCATCACAAAAAATATTTCAGTGGAAACCTATTTAGTATGGATGAGCATAGTTAAATATGGCATTGAATGCCAGGATCTGTCGTAAGCCACTATGATTGAAGATTCATAGTCTGAAGATGTCCTGTTTTGACATGGATATTTTTAATGGCTAGTAGACCTTGCTTTACAAGGTTCCAGGAAAGGGAAAGTTTGCACAGCATTAGGATGAGCAGGACAAATAGCAGTTCAGATACATAGAAATCACACACATCTCCTGAAGTGTTGGCTTCTCTTATTGAAACAAACTTTTCAGGGTGATAACACAAAGTTTGATTGGAATGGATTGCCTGAAAAGACTTTCATTTCTGTAGAAGAGAATAGTGTCCCAGGTTAAAGGAACCAGATATAACTCAAGGCCACGCCGAGGATGATTTTAAATTGAGGTGTTTACCTTTCCACTATTCTGAAAAATCCCAGGGCTCCCTAGGCCTGCTCCTGAGCTAACCTGAGAGCAGTGTTATGATCTAACAGGAAGGCCGGGGCACTGATGAACAAGCCTCACGGCTGGCTCACTTATATCTTCTGCCCTTTTGTTCAGAAGTTCTGGACCCCAGATAGATAATGCCCCAGGCCAGCCTCTGTAAATTCAGGTGATTTATCTGATGATCTGGGATAGACTCTTTCATAGCCAGTAGATTGTGATATAAATGCTGTTTTGAAGGCCTGGYGGTGTGCACATCTTATGGTGAGCTCCTGTGATTTGCCAATGAAGCAGGTAAATATAACTTTGGTAAGTGTACAACATCAGGCAGAGTTTGGACCAGTGCTGAGTCTTATACTAATAAGTCCACTCACCAACAAAGAATACTGTATGGAAGATCATCTKCCCCATGAGTGATCATAAAATTATGCCTTCCTACAAACCAATGCTGCCCTATGGACTCAGTAAAACATGACCTTGGTATATGATGTGAGCCCTGAGGACTTCATAGAGACACTGTGGTTGAGATGCTTCAGTCCCACAGAAACTGCCTGGCAAGTAAGGAGCTAATCAGCTGAAACGAGAAATCTACAAGAACGAAGGAATTTTATTGGTACCCCTTTTTTKGGGTTCTAAATAATGCTTATGTTTAGATTTTACAAGTCCTGTTGAATACCCCAAAATTTGAATGTAACTTTATGTTTCTCAGGAAAATAAATAGGGGTTTTGCTCAGATCTCATGTGGAAATATGGAAGGAAAATAAAGACTTCCTTTTAGAGCAGGAATTTTTGAAGTCATTCCCTTCCTTCCTCCCTTGTTACTGTGAATAAGGGCTCTTCTCTTACAATAGCATCAGTTTTTGTAATAAATAGCACTGTGTTAAATTTACATAGGATTAAACATACTTTATGAAACAGTGTTTCACTTTAATATAATTTTGTTGCATGTGTTTAATACATTTTCGACATTCTTCAATTACTGTTTTTGGATAGCTTGCAAAGTTGTGTTAGAAACAATTTTCCATAAAACTGCCTCATATAGTCTGTTCTCTAAAAGTGGTTGTTAATTTGGGGACTTTATTAGAGGTTTCTAAATCGACATCCACATTTCCCAGTAGGTTAACCTTTATAGGAGAGTTGTGAAGATAAAACAACATGATCTGCATAAAAGTCTTTAAAAGGACAGAGCACTATAAAAATGCATAGTTATTACTTGCATTATCTTAAAAAATGTTTCTATGCTTAGAATTCACAAAGGTGAAAAAGCAACAGAACCACTTTGGAACTGGCAGTGGACAGAAGGAAGTGGAGACTCACAATACAAAGGGATAGTGTCTCTTCAGATGATGCCTTGAGCAGCTGTCACAGTCTTTCATTGTTTTGGAGCATCTCTTGCATCTGTAGTTTACCCACTAAGTTGGGTTGGAGAAACAGTGAGGGATGGAGCAAGCCTCATATTTCCTGTCACAGGCACTGAGAACTTTAACCTATAGATTTAGCCTTCCATAGTCCTCAGCCAATCCTTCAACAGGCACCAAATCACTTAGAAGACTTGGGAGAATGCAGTTTTCTGGACCTCACTCCCAGAGTTTCTGATTGTACAAATCTGCATCTCAAGTATTTGCATTTTTGCCAGATGTTTCTAACAAGTTCCCAGGTGACACTGTGTGCTGCTAGTCTAGAGGCCACACTTTGAAACCATTGCTCTGGATTATAAAATATGGAAATGTGACTTCTAGCAAAAACAATCTGAATTTTGGTTGGGGGTAGTTAGAATAAGAATTACTCTGCAGTATATTTTTCTGTTGCTCACTACAGAAGCCTATAGATGGATATTATGCTTTACATCTTGTGCCAATGTTTAAAATGGTGTTGCTCATACATTAAGAGTGAGATCCTAAAACCACTCAACTAAAGAAAATTCGAATGTCAATTACCAGCCAGCACAGGGCACATTTGCATGTATGAAGCTAATATTAATGCTTTTATATGTTTGCAAGCTGTTTAATTTGGTGTTTTCCATAACTACTTATCTCCTTGTATTCATGTTATTTTTTCATGCAAGATTAAGCTGAATAACTCAGTTTCAAAATATGCAAAAGTTTTTGCTGCAAAAATATTT